GCCAGTCACAACCCATGATCATCAAATGTTTCCCATGAAGAAAACAGCCTGAAGATGCCTGCAAGTATCCTTACAGTCCCACAACAGAATGTCCCGATGTCCCAATACCCATAACAGTATGTGCTTTCAAGATAATTACAGTTATGTTTTAATGCACTTGGGCGCTAAAATGTAAAGGGTAGTTTTCTTTAAATCAACAGAGTAAAAATTTTGTGATGCTGTCAGCCCACATGCAGGTAGGCACAGGTTAGTTTAGTCTTCACATAGACAAGACTCCCACATAAGAAAAACTTAGTACATTCCTCCACTTGCTTTATAAGGATGCTGTATGCTGTAACAGAGAATCACTCTTTCTTTTCCTTCCTTTTCTTTTCTTTTTCTTTCTTCCTTCCTCCCTCCCTCCCTTCCTTTCCTTTCATTTTTTTTTTTTTTTTTAAATAGAGACAGGGTCTTGCTGTGTTGGCCAGCTGGGTCTTGAACTCTTGCCTCCTGAGTATATGGGACTACAGTTGCAGGCCACCACACCCAGCTAATTTTTGCTGTTTTTGGAAAAGATGGGGTTTCCCTATGTTGCCCAGGCAACATGGTCTCGAACTGCTGACCAGAAGTGATCCTCCCGCCTCGGCCTCCCAATGTGCTTGGAAAACAGATCTAAGCCATCATGCTGGCCCAGAGTAAGATTTCAACAAACTCTCTTTTCACTGCACTTTGTGACTCATCTTGAATTCTTTTCTGTGTGAGATCCAAGAACTCTCTTGGGGTCTGATCAGGGCCTCTTTTCCTGGTGATATAAGCAAGAACTTAACTTCCAATTTTAGAATACTGAGTCCACTTCTCTGGAGTCTATTTTTTTCCTGAATGGGCCATTGCTATCTATCCGCTTGAATAAACTCTTCAAACTGAAATCTGAAGCTTTCAATTATTTTGGGTTGACAAGTCCAAATAAGGCACCTACATCTCTGCCACCAATCAAGCATTTATCTGGTTTGTCTCCTCATGCACCTAATAAAAGCCTAGCCTTCAACCTGTAAATTAAAAATAAAAACATACCTTCTGGTCTGGTGAGGTGGCTCACACCTATAATCTCAACACTTTAGGAGGCCGAGGCGGGTGGGTCACTTGAGGTCAGGAGTTCGAGAACAGCCTGGCCAACATGGTGAAACCCCATCTCTACTAAAAGCACAGATTAGGCGGGTGTGGTGGTGTGTGTGAGGAAAAGAAAGAGAGATCAGATTGTTACTGTGTCTATGTAGAAAAAGAAGACATAAGAAACTCTATTTTGGTATGTACTAAGAAAAATTGTTCTTCTTTGAGACGCTGTTAATCTGTAACTTTAGCCCCAACCCTGTGCTCACAGCAACCTGTGCTGTATTGAATCAAGGTTTAATGGATTTAGGGCTGTGCAGGATGTGCCTTGTTAACAATATGGTTGCAGGCAGTATGCCTAGTAAAAGTCATCGCCATTCTCAATTCTCTGTTAACCAGGGACAGAATGCACTGCGGAAAGCCGCAGGGACCTCTACCCAAACAAGCCTGCGTATTGTCCAAGGTTTCCCCCACTGAGACAGCCTGAGATATGGCCTCATGGGAAAGACCTTATATCCCCCAGCCCCACACCTGTGAAGGGTCTGTGCTGAGAAGGAGTAGTGAAAGATGCAGGCCTCTTTGAAGCTGAGATAAGAGGAAGGCTTCTGTCTCCTGCTGGTTCCTGGGAATGGAATGTCTCTGTGTAAAGCCGACCATTCATTCTATTCTGAGATATGAGAAAACCCGCCCTGTGGGAGGCGAGATAGGCTGGCAGCAACACTGCTCTGTTACTCTTTGCTACACTGAGATGTTTGTGTAAAGTGAAACAGAAATCTGGCCTATGTGCACATCCAGGCACAGTACCTTTCCTTGAACTTATTCATGATACAGCTTCCTTTGCTCACGTTTCCCTGCTGACCTTCTCCCCACCATCACCCTGTGGCCCTGCCACACTCCCCTCGCCAAGATAGTAAAAATAATGATCAATAAATACGGAGGGAACTCAGAGACTAGCACCAGTGTAGGTCCTCGCATGTTGAGCACCAGTCTCCTGAGCCCACTGTTCTTTCTCTATACTTTGTCTCTGTGTCTTATTTCTTTTCTCAGTCTGTCGTCTCCACCTGATGAGAAATACCCACAGGTGTGGAGGGGCAGGCCCCCTTCAGGTGCGTGCCTGTAATCCCAGCTACTTGGAAGGCTGAGGCTGGAGAATCGCTTGAATTCGGAAGGTGGAGGTGGCAGTGAGCCGAGATCGAGCCATTGCACTCCAGCCTGAGTGACAGAAGGAGACTCTGTTTCAAACAAAAACAAAAACAAAGTACCTTCCCAGGTAAGGGAAGTGACCGGCTCTTGGCCAAGGGGACCCCTAAAAAACCCTGAACGTTGAGTTCCTCTGTATGACAGGATGGGAGGTGAGACAGGCTTCCTGGCCAACACAGCGACACCCTCTCCCTTTAGGAGTTTAGATGCAGCAACTGACGCACATTCATGTAAAAACAGACATCATCAGCCTGGAAAAAAAAGACTCCTGTGGCAATAAGATACCAAATTACAAACAAGACCTAAGGCCTCGCAAGGCAAGGGTAAGTCATGCCTTAGAATCCATAAAATCTAGAGAAACAGGTCTGTTTTTTGGCTGGAATGGAATCAAGTGGCAGATAACAGACCCCCTTCCTTCAGCATTCCTTCCTACCTCCTCCAAACTTTAGACAAAGCTTCACACTCTCCACCAGCTGCCACCTACAGAATCCCTCAACCACCTGTGCCTTCTAATCCCCTTTCCACAGGTCTCACCCTTTCTGTTTTTTGTTTTTGTTTTTTTTAGACAAGAGTCTCACTCTGTCGCCAAGGCTGGAGTGCAGTGGCACTGTGTGGGCTCACTGCAACCTCCGTCTCCTGGGTTCAAGCAATTCTCCTGCCTCAGCCCCCCGAGTAGCTGGGATTACAGGCGTCCACCACCACGCCCGGCTAGTTTCTTTTTAATATTTTTAGTAGAGACGGGGTTTCACCATGTTGACCAGGCTGGTCTTGAACTCCTGACCTCAGGTGATCCGCCTGCCTCGGCCCCCCAAAGTGCTGGGATTACAGGCGTGAGCCACCGCGCCCGGCCAGGTCCCGCCCTTTCTGCCAAAGGAACTTACACCTTCCAGTAACTAATTCATTATTTTCCCCGCAATTCCTGTCTCTCTAAAATTAATAAAACCAAACTGTTTTGAGCCGCCTCGGGACCACTCACTCCAGGCTTCTTGGGGATGTTTTCCCCTCGGCCAAGGTCTCTCCTATTAGGCTCCGAACAAACTTCTTTATTTTACATACTTTGGCTTTTTCCTTTGACAAACCACAAGCCAGGACTGGGTGTGTCTCATTCGTGAATCGCTGTTTGCTCAAATGAACTCTTTGTTAACCTTCCTCAGTTTAATTTTTAACAAGAGAAAAAGTGGACACTGGGGGCCCCACAGACCGCTGCTCCTCCTACGCACGAACCCCACACCCGAGTCGGGATCCCCCCCATGACCCTCCCGCGGCTTCCGCACAATCTGGGTAGACGCGTGGCCGCGGGCGCGGAGCTGCCCAGAGAGGGCTCTGGGGCCGCAGTCGCCGCGCAGGGACGGGACAGGACGCCTGGTGTCCCGGCTGTCGGCCCAGCCACACCCAGCAGCCGAGGGGACCGAGGGCCGAGCGGCTCCAGGAGGACTTGGTCCCAGATCCCGAAGTCGCCCGCAGGAAGGCCGGGGTCTCGCCACAGTCGGTTCTGGTCGGTCCAGGCAGCCCCTCCCCCGTCTCACGACACCCAGCCCCAGACACGCACCATTTCCTGGCTTTCAGATGTCCCGGGGTCCTCTCTACACCTCCTGTGACTACAGCAGGGCATAGCGCAGGTGACAGAGCGACAAAATCCTGGGTAGAGGCACCAGGTCCCTCTCGGGGCTGGAAACACCGGATCCGAACCGCGGCCCGCTCAGCCACAAACGTGAGGGCAGGAATGCGACCCTCTCCCTGTCTGGATGAACAGTGGGCAGGGCCACGCCCCAGTGCCTCTGATTGGATGGAATGCTAGGCCCCGCCCCCCATGTCTGAGTGACAGCGGAAGCCCTGGGTATCAGGCCCTGCAGAGCCAGACTCACGGATTTTAACCACTGCTTCCCTAAGGGTGAGCTCCTTCCTGCACTCTGGTTATTGGATATTTGCATTTCAGCCAAACTTGCTATTGATAGAGGAGAACGCTAGCGTTTTCCTCACTCAAGGGACTGTCCCTGCTTCTTCGTTCTGCACGGGGTCACAGGAGTGTGCAGGGAATTTCAGACTCAGTGTCCACAGGAGCCATCTCCTGCCTCAGAGCAGCAGTGGAACGGAGACCAGGCCAGGCACGCCTGCACCAGGAGGAGAGGCATATATCCTCAAGCGGGCCGCAAGTGGGGATGAGGCATGGCCAAGACTTGTTCACTTACCCCATCCCCTCCTCACAGTGTGAAAATGCTCCCTTCTTCCAGATCTTCATTTTCACCAGCAGCAAACTCTCTCCTGAGGTTAATTTAAGCTTTTGACCTAAAGAAACTGTCAACTTTATCCAGGTGACGCCGCCCAAACAATTCTGTCTCTAGCCTGATCTTCACACATTTTCTTTGAATATACGAAGATCTCTGTTGGATATAAAATGCTTTAGGAATAAATTCTTGGTCCTGCGAAGTAAAACTAACACTTAGGGAAAAGTTTAATTTGTTTAGCAAGGCAATTTACTTCTGCGGAAGGGTGCCACTTGTGTCAATCAAGATCACAAGAGCACAGAGAACAAATGTCACCAGGGGGTTTTATGTCCTTAATGCAGTCCCTATCTCTGTGTCACTCCTTCATGGCCTGGGGTTCGACCACACAATCTGAGCTGACCCGATTGGCTACTTGTACATATTTTTCTAAATATAGAAGGAGAGGGGAATGTGAGGTACAGAGGTGCAGCGCGTGAGACGTGCAGTTTCAGGGGAACAATGGGTACAGGTAACCAAGGGAACAGATGGGAGTTACTAATGAGAGCTGATGAGAAGGGGCTAGGCTGTTTTACAGTAACTAGGGGCAAGGAGGAACAGGAAAGTTGAGTTTGAGAACAAAAGACAAGGAAGTTAGCAGGCTAAATCTTTGAAAAGAAACTCAGAGAAATGTACTGTGTGTTACAATTCCTCCCTTTTCATTTTCTTATGATCTTTTTCTCTTTAAACTTTTTTAACGTGTTTTGGCTTTGCTGTTTGCTTTGATCTTTTAAAAGGAAAAGCTTACTAGAACAAGGTGGAGGAGAACTAAGGGGGGTTTCAGTAAGTGCTGTCTGTGCAATCCTTTGTATTAGCCTATGGATGCATGCTATGACACAACACCTAACAAGAATAAGTACATCTGTTACAACTGTAAGAGCAGTAAGTATTGAGGCTATGATTCTTTATTTACTGAACTACTTTCCTAGCCATCTTGAAATAGGGTCATTGACTCCAGAATTTTTAGCTAATTCTTTGGATAAAGTGGTAAGTCCTTACAAGGCCTTTGTTATGCTCGCACTGGGGGGCAGTGTTGTTTGGGATGAAGGTACAACATTGGGTTTTAATCATAACACAAACTCCACCTTTTTCGGCTAATAACATATCTAGAGTCATTCTGGTTTTTTTGTTTGTTTGTTTTTTGTTTTTTGTTTTTTGAGACACAGCCTCGCTCTGTTGCCCAGGCTGGAGTGCAGTGGTGCGATCTCAGCTTACTGCAAGCTCCGCCTCCTGGGTTCACGCCATTCTCCTGCCTCAGCCTCCCTAGTAGCTGGGACTACAGGGGCCCACGACCACGCCCGCCTAATTTTTTTGTATTTTTTGGTAGAGACGAGGTTTCACCATGTTAGCCAGGATGGTTTCGATCTCCTGACCTCGTAATCCGCCCACCTTGGCCTCCCAAAGTGCTGGGATTACAGGTATGAGCCACTGCGCCTGGCCGAGCCATTCTGTTTTCTTAAGCTATTTGGCTAGTAGGCCTTCATTGGTCAGCTATTCTTTTGATAGCATCCTTGGTGTAATTCATAAACTGCTGCTGATTATAATAGATGTAATTTATCTAAGCTACCTTTTTATTAATAGTTATTCATGGAAATATGGATTTAAATCTTGCAGTTATTTGGTCTCAGGTTTTGAACTTGTTAGGCAACTGCCCGTGGGACTCTAATGGCCTTTATGTAAACTTGAGATTCAAAAGACTTATTTATTTATTTATTTATTTTTTGAGACGGAGTCTTGCTCTGTCGCCCAGGCTGGAGTGCAGTGACCGGATCTCGGCTCACTGCAAGCTCCGCCTCCCGGGTTTACGCCATTCTCCTGCCTCAGCCTCCTGAGTAGCTGGGACTACAGGCGCCCGCCACCTCGCCCGGCTAGTTTTTTGTATTTTTTAGTAGAGACGGGGTTTCACCGTGTTAGCCAGGATGGTCTCGATCTCCTGACCTCGTGATCCGCCCGTCTCGGCCTCCCAAAGTGCTGGGATTACAGGCTTGAGCCACCGCGCCCGGCCTGAGATTCAAAAGACTTATAAGGGGCTTATTTTATTTTTCGGTGTTGTGGTTTTTCCTTTTATAGTTGATGAAATGCCAGGGTGAAAGGGATTGCCAGTTGGACAAGAGGGCTAGTGCCGCTCCAGTTACTTGGCAGAGTGTCCAGTAAAGGTCCACTACAATACCACCATACATCTGCTTGAGGATGACTAAGGGCAGACTGATGGGTAAGTTTTTGGAAGGGCTTAAGCTTATTGCATCTTGTTAAACTTCTAAGGAATGCTAAATTCTCCTTTTGTTGTGAGAGACACGAGGTGAAATTGACGTTGGGGGACGGACACTGAATGGCCTTTGGGGGCTGACCTGCAGGTTGTTGGACTTCAGGATATAGCAGAGAGAGAGCTTGGCATGCTTTGTTGCCCCAGGCTGTGGAATTTTGGAAAAGAGCTACCATATAGCCTATGCCTGGTCAACTGAAGGGCTATCCTAGTGGAAAGGAAACAATCCGGGCCTCTGGTCTGCCATGCGTCCAAGCATAACAATTGCTTTTGTTCAATGTGCAGACAGAATATTGAATCCATTCCAACCAGGCATTTACATCTTGATATCCTGTTTTAATTGCTAGGGTTTGTCTTAAATCTTTTACTTCTACAATATTTACTTTAGTATTATCATTAGGTAGAAAAGAGGTGGCAGTCTGATTAAAAGAAAGCTTAGAAGGAGAAGAGAAGGAAGGGGGTAAAGAGAATGAAAAATTAATAAAACGCACTTCGAAAGACCTTATGAGGTCTGTGCTGGCCAGTTGGCTCCTATGCTATAGAAGGAACTTAAAGTAGGTTTAGGGTCAGTAGAGGCAGAAATTTGTATGGGATTACATTGATTATACTGGCAATTGGGGGAGGTGCTTTTTTAGTGAAATGAATGTATGTTTTTTAGGATATACAGCCACTTGCTGATGAGGTCTAGCCTTGATATTTGGTTGTCCATAGGACATCATTCTAGCTTTGACAGACTTGTTTTCTTATATTTGTTAAGGAATAAGAGTCTTGGTAGGGGGAGCCTTTCACCTTAAAGGGACACAGATACTTTTCTGAGGCTGAGACTTGTCTTTGACTTTGGAGATCTTTACAGGGTATGACTAGACATAGCATTAAACGTGATAACTTGGGGTGAGTTTGATTGAGTTACATTAATGACAAGGTGGTCAGCATTAGAAGGGGAAAAGAAGAAAGAGTAATAGAATAGATGGAAGAGAGTTAAATTTTTCTTAGCTTTAGTTTGAGGGGGTTTCCCCCTGGAATAATGGCCTACAATTTTGGGGGTGGCGGTGCTTTCTTGATTCGGGTGTGATGGGTCTATCCTTTCTCTGCTGTCCGGACTGCAGTTTCAATGGTGGGAAGTACTAGGCCGGCTCCTCGGGCTGGTGTTGATGTACTGGGAACTCTAGGGGAGGCACCTGCACTGGAAAATTGTGAGTTTTGAGGGAAAAGAAAGTGGAAGATAAACCAAGTATGTAGGAATGTTGGCAGTGGATTTTTTTCTGGTAACTGAAGGTTATTTAACATTTGGGTGATTAACTCTTCATGAATAAGGCTTTGACCTTTATTATTAATTGTCTGAAATTTTCTAAATGTATGAACCACCATAAAGGCGTATTTAGAATCAGTGTAGATTAGAATAGATGGTTCCTTTGCAGGTACTTTAAAGCTTGACTAAGTGCAAATGGCTTACAGATTTGGGTCAACCAATTATTAAACAATTTTTAAAATTTTATTTCTCTAGGGACTTCTCTGTTAATTATTGAACATCTGTTGAATCCTTTTTTCTTTAATCATTTTTGAAGGGGGTTTCTCTTAAGTTTGGCCAGATGTTTGCATGGTAATCAGTTAAATCTAAACATGTGTGCTTCCTTTTTAGATTTGGATCTTTCTTTAAGAAACTTGTTAGGTTAAGCGAATTACTAGTAATGTTAAACTATCATTTTCAACAGAATAGCTTCATATTTATACACATGCAATTCTTTTTTGGTGGTACATTTTAATATAACTGACTTTAAAGAATCAAAGTTCTTTTCTGGTGGATATTTTCACTTTTAACACTGGCCTGACTATAATAAATGCTAGTGGATGTATCAGCTGAAAGATTATCTACTTCTTGCTTAGGAAACTTAGCTGCGGGGATGCCAGGCTGCTTGGAGCCATGGCTGAAGCCCCGTATTACTCGACCTTGGCAAAAGTAAGGCAGATATCCTATAATGTAGTTTGCATGGGGCATAGGCTGGGGCCTGGCTCGCATGTCATGCAGAGCCGCCGTCAATACAGTGCCGGGACCGTGGACCAGCCAGTGGGCAGGAGTATGGGCTTTGCCTGCCACAGGGGTACACTATGGGCCAGACAATGCTAACAACATGTTGCGGCAGATCCTTCATGTTGCTAGCCTGGCAGAAGCCATCTGGTGAATTAGGAGCTTGGAGTTATTTAGGGGAGAGGGACTAGGCTGGGGAAGAACAGACTTATGGGGCAATGCCTGAGGGGAAGGGTTGG